ATCCTTATTTTCTTCACATTTTTCTTGGTATAAATTATTTATTCTGATTATTTCTTCACAATATCCACTTATCTGATAGTTTGGCCAACTGTTTCTTGAATTCATCCATTTTCACATATAATAAATGGTAGGTGGATCTTGATGATGATTCAGCTCCTAATAACAAATCTATGGCATGATCAATCATCCTTTTGGATGGCAGCTTATTGGGCAGCTCTAATGGAAAAATGTTAACAAATTTTTTGATAATTACAGCTTCTTCTGAAAAGAGTTTGTTTTTTGGAGGCACATACAGCATATAGTTCTTCTTTTGGAGGTATTCTGGAAAGTTGATGTTTGAAAATAAAAATTGAATTACATATAGGGTTCTTATTAGCTCAGTTGAAACTAACATTGATAATAATATGGCATGGTCCATTTGGAAAAAACAAAGTGTTGATTTCAATCAATGTTAAGTTGACTTGAAACAACCAAGGCTTTCCTAAAATGGCATCATATCATTGCAGGTTCAAAACTTGAGCAGAGATTCCAGCTCCAGCTTCTTAATTTTTACTTTGGTTGAAACTTCTTTCTTTTGGCTGTCTGCCAGTTCCACAGTAAAGAGTTTGACGAGTTTTTTCATTAGTTGTTGTTAATTGACAAATCTTTTATCAATAAAATTTTTGAAGGCCCACTATTCAACAGGATTCAAGCAGGGTATCCATCAATCTTTCCATTAAAACAGAGTAGCTGTATTCAGTTTTCTTTAATGTGAATGAACTTGGGATCTGGAGAAGTGGATTGTTTTTTTATAATGACGACTTTGATTTTGGTTTTGGTTTTCTTAGACCAGCAATCTCAGATATAATAATTCATCTTTCTACAGTTATAGCATTTAACTTGTTTCTTTTGATACTAACAACTGTACTAGTTAATGGCTTCTTATAAGTTTCAGTGTAGTCTAATTCCATTAGGGTCGGTCTGGGTCTTTGGTTTTTTCCTTGAAACTAATTTCCTCAGATGGTAAATTTTCCTGTCAGTCATTCCAGGCCAAACATGATAGTATTATAGTGGCTCACAATGTTGATGGCTTTGTCAAGAGTTTCTAGAGACTTGTAACTGACTTACATTCTGGTTGCAGGCTTCAATCCTTCTACAAAATAGACAACTCAGTCCAATTGATACATATTTTCAATTTGACTTATCAGGTTCCTAAATTGGAAGGCATATTCTTGTACGATTCTTGTTTGGAGCAGGTTTTTAAGTTGACAATGCAAGTGTTGTTAATAGTACAGTCAGGCATATTACCAAAATTGGAAATCGGATCTAGAATACTCTATTGAAAATTCCTAAAATTTGATTGGCTCATATCAGCTCATATCAGTTATCTTCAGATGCGAATTAAGACTTGATATAATATTCGTTTGCAGTTTTTAACTATACGAACTAATAGTAAAAAGACTCTAGTTTTAAAATCACCTGTGATCATTTCGAGATTAACGTTTTTTAAAAAAATAGGTCAGTGCTAAAATTTAAAAAAATTGTATTTTTAACTTAATAATTAAGCTTTTTTTTTTTTTTTTTAATTTTATTGTATTAGCAGTATTAAATTTAAATTATGTCGCATCTATCGCCAGCTCAACAAAAGCCAAAGCCCGAAGCTCTTCCCTGCATATTCTCTAAAATAGTTACTAAGTACAATAAGGAAATCGGATTAAGTTTCTGTGAAACGAAGAAAAAGCAAACTTGGCGAAATGCTAGTGCTCCAGAAGCAATTAGACGACTTGAACTATTTACTGATTTCATACCGGAATTAACTGATTTTCTTTTAGAATCTTATCATTATTCTATTTGCCAACAACATTATAATGAAATTGTATCTAAAAATCAATTTTATCAACGGCTTTGTCATGAAAATAAAAGACCTCAGATTGATACTGATTCTATCTCTTTAGAGATAATCGATAGTGCTTCAATGATCAAGTTTGAAAAAATAAAAGAATTAGGTGAAGGTGAAATGGTAAATCAAAAAAAAAATGAGTATATAATGCTTCTTACTAATACAATTTCAGAGTTACAGCAAAAAATAGAAGAACAAAAACGAGAAATATCAGAATTAAAGAATCAGATAAGTGGATATTGTGAAGAAATAATCAGAATAAATAATTTATACCAAGAAAAATGTGAAGAAAATAAGGAT